CGTGCAAATGAGGAAAGCCTGAGGCAGAGAGTGCAAACCTTCCTGCCCTTCCATGCACCTACATGGAAAGCCTAAGGCAGGGAGAGCAGCAGCAAAGATCCCCGGGAACAGAGCAGAGCAGCATCAATGACAAACAGAAATGACATTGATAAGTCAGACACAACATGAAAAGGAGGAGCTGGGGTGGAGGCAGGTTGCAAAGCAGCTTGCAGAGGAAGCAGCAACAGTAGTTCCTGAATGAGATTCACCAACTGGTTGTATAGAAAGGAATCATGTGATCTATCAGCTGACTGATTTGAGCTGAGCCTGACTTCGTGTCCTGCCTGAACTAATGCTATGCTCAATAAATGTAACATATGAAACTTAACAATTTTACATATCTAAGGTAAGGTAAGGTAAAGTCAGGTAAAGTAAAACTTGAATGTCCCCAGGGGGCAATTTGTGATACAGACAGTGGTCATAAGTCAAACAAAACAAACAATACAATACATAACACACAGAATCCAGAATCACACACTGTCAGGGATAAATCAAGGACAATCAGTGGTCACTGCTGGTTAAGATAAGCGATAGCAGACGGAACAAAGGATGTTGTGTAACACTTAGTGCTACATTTAGGGAGGCAAAACCTCCTCTCTGTAGAAGCATCTAAAACTAAAACTATAGTCTGAGAAAATAAATCGAGCTTTAGAGGTGACCCTCTCTTCATACAGATGATGGAGGCTATCAAAAGTAACACAACTTGACCTGACCATCTATGGTTTACAGAAAAAGTACAATGCCAACATTAATTTTGGCAATCAGATTGCGATAAGTCGTTGAGAAGTTCGTCTTCCCGCCATTGAGTCTACATTTTCAAATGAGCACTGAATGCAGGAAATGGGTGAGTTCACTCAGCACAGCAGAGTAAGGGCCAGAAGAAATAATCTGATTACTGATCAGTTGCAGGCGGGTTTTACAGGAATTAGGTTATTGCAGTGTTTGGAAGAGCATATCTGATTTCCTGTCTCAGCCAGATTCCACCAGTTCAGACAGACAGAGACATATTATGGGGAAACATCCTGTGAGCATGCGCATTTAATATTCATTTTTAAGAGTGTGTCAGTCACTTAGGAAAAGACAGTGGTAGACTTAATACTTTTGGGGCGTGGGTATGTCAAAGACCAACTTATAAAATGTAAATGCAGCTTCAGCCTGGACAAAAGGCCACTGCAGTCAAATTCTCATCGTAAAGAGCGCTGTTCTCCCATCAACTAGTGGGACAGACCATACTGGGAACATAGCCAAAGGCAGGAAATAACCTTTGAATGCGTGTGATGGACGCTCTCCATGCAGCTCATTACATTACAGAGATTTTCAGGAATGGCGTGGATGGATAGGTTTACACTACTAAATGGCTGTAAAAGACAAAAGTGAGTAGTCATTCTATCCAGGTAGTGGAGAAGCGTGACTTTTGCCCTTTGATAATTATCAACCATTCACACATTCCTTTCTCTTGAGCTCAGGGTGAGCGTGCGCAGCCTTGGGGTGTACCTCAGCTGCTTCCCCCTCATTTCCATTGCAAAAGGTACTTAATGAGCGAGAGCAGCTGATCAACATGGAATACACAAGGTCAGACAAATGGGTCATTCATTCAAACATGTGAGAGATTAATTAAAGCTTTGGGATGTATTTCAGCAAAGTGTAATAATTTGACTAAAATGTGTATATTGTGAGTTTAAACCACACTAAAACAGAAGGAGGCAACTTAAACTAAAGCTCTTTTTAAAGTCCATACCTTTACTTTAATCCCACTGGAAAGAAGCTTCTCCTGTGTTTGGCAGCCTGATTCCTAATTGTCCCGAGGTTTGCATAATCATCTGCACAAAGACACACTGAGTTCTGCCTATTAGCCGTGTTAGCTTGTGTATTCTGTTCTCAATGTAAAATGAGTGAGGGGCCTCCCTTACGTACACTGCATGCACCTCCTCAAACATGTAATATAGGGCTCTGCAAGACGGATATTACTTTCTTCTACTTCCTTTGATATTTCCGCTGTTCTCACAAAGGATGACGATGTATTTTTCCCCCTCGCATTGACACAGTTGCTTTTCATCACCAGGCAAGACTTTTCTAATATCACAAAGAGGAAAGGAAGGAGTGTAAATCCAATAGAATGAACGTACAGATAACACTGCCATTTGCATTAAACAGCCTTATATGCTGGGTATTTGCATGACTGGTGGAGAAGATGGGTTCAGAGCAAAGCATTGTATAAGCATTGTTTTATTTTTAAGTCTTTCAATTAGCTCCCTAGTATTAGTCCGTTGAATCATCTTAGAGATGTGGTATTAAAGTTTTTATTGTGATTTATTATCCTGGTTTGCTTTTATGTCATTAGTATTCATGCTTTTAAAGGGAAATCACGCCAATCTTTAAAATTCATACACATTATTCCTATGGTCCAAGACAGTCCAGACATATCAGTAAACATTAAACAACTCTGCCCCAAATCCAAAAACTACACTGCAAATACTCACATTTTTGATATCAAGTATAAAGTCTGGAACCGCTCCACAGACAATAAATAAATTGGGAAAGATGTTTTAGATGACACACAGGGGGAATGTGCTGAGTATATGGGTACATTTCCTGTTTCAGAACTCAGAACACTACAATAGAATAAAGCACATTTGGGTATAAAAAGGAAACAGGCAGTCTGAACCGGCCCTACCTATTATGCAATATAATTGGTTGCCTAGGGCCCCCTGGTCTCCGGGGCCACCCTTGAAAACATTTTTTAATGAATAAGAGACAACAATGAAATAAAAATGGAACTTCTGAAACAAAAACTGACTTTTCATGCCATTTTGGTCAAAAACAACAAGTACACAAAAGAGCAAGGTTAGAGAGAGGTGAAATGGATAATATAGGTAGGCTAAGTAAGTAATTTACTGTCCCCTATGAAACAAGTACTCCTGGGATCCTGTGGTAAAAAAAAAAAACACATTTTGATGTTGTATTAGATATGGTAAGTTAAACAAAATTGATGAATATGACATCGACAAAAGTCAACACAAACTTGGATAAGTATCTTCACAAGCTGTTCTTTAACCGTTTGCAAGCACTGCAGCCCATGATTTATATTAAGTAACTTACATGTGGAAGTCAGTTTAAGAGGATGATTCATAGTGTTAGGGCAGGGGTAGGCGACCTGTGGCTCTGGAGCCACATGTGGGCCCTCTATATGGAAATGAATTGCATTGTTTTCTGAGATTATAATTTTCATTCATCACTGTTGCGGTGGCACGGTGGTGCAGTGGTTAGCATTGTCGCCTCACAGCAAGAGTGTTTCTGGTTCTGGCAGGTGTGAATGTGAGTGTGAATGGTTGTCTGTCTCTATGTGTCAGCCCTGTTCAGGGTATACCCCACCTCTCGCCCAGTGTCAGCTGGGATAGGCTCCAGCCCCCACCCGCAACCCCCAATAGATAAGTGGTTACAGAAAATGAATGAATGACTGTTGTAGGCAGAAAGTGATTCTTAAATTCTCCAATTGTAAAAGTGTGTAGCCTATACACTGAATAAAAAAATATTTTAACATTTTGTCAACTAAAATGTGCTTTGTCAGTCTACGGCCTGGTGCCTTTTACTCTGAATTTGCCAAAGCTCAATAGCAATGGCTGGTCTTGAGTCCCTCAAGCTAAACTAGCTATGATTTCTAAATCCACGAAAGGGGAAGAAAATGAGAATTTAACAGAGCATGGACAGGTTCATTTGCTTTCACCACCGACACTGCAAAGTTAAAGAACCAAATAATCATACAAAGCCCACTTCTGAGTGGCCACATTGGTATAAAACATATTAATGAATGCTCATTCAGACCCATAGGCTAATTCGGACTTAATAGGCAGTGTTACCTCATAATAAGGCTCAAATGCGGCTCCAGGTGTGTTCTTTTTCTTTTTGTTTTGGCCAAAAATGGTTCTTTTGATAGTGAAGGTTGCAGACCCCTGGGCACGGCTAACACTGTAATCTATTCAAAGATAGTGTTGCTAGGCACCACTTTTGTCTTTACATGCTTACTGTAAAACTACCGTATAACAGGCTTATATGTGGACACATATCTACTGTATATGGGACAGGCCTTTGATTCCTTTACATCAAAATTGTTGCCTGGATAAGATGAGAAATATGATCAAATCATCTATTTGAACCAGTATGAATATTACTTGTATAAAAATTAGGTTTGAAATAACACATCAGTTGCAAATCATTCATTTGATCTAGCTTCGAGAGACAGTGCATCAGAGAGTGTTATGACACATGAGGATTATGGCGTCCAGCATATCGACACAACACCACTTTATTCTGTTAAAACAATATTCAAAGCATTTTGTATGAAAAAAAGTTTTGATTATTTTGAGCCTTGAACCCTTACGGACTAAAAAATATGAATAACTTACTGGGTAACTGAAGAGTGGACACATATTCTGACTTTATGACAGCTTCAGAGGAAGGAGTCACCACTTGTTTTTCATCATGCTGGTAAATCTGAATGAGTTACGGCCTTTATTTGTCAAAATCTGGGACTAGGTTTTTAATGGAAGTTTTGTGGTATTTGTATATTATGTGAACTTAAACACATTTTTGCAAAACACAAGTTGTTTGTGGGGGTAAACCAAATCCTGCTTAGGGCCCCCAAAAGTCGAGGGCCAGCCCTGCAAACCTTGTTGGCATCCTTAAAATCAGGCCCTCATTCATTGTCTATGGAGCAGCTCCACATTTACACTTGATGACATCACTCTCTGGTGCTTTGACAGACAGTAGCTTGTGTTGACAAATATTGATTGACCTTTCCTGAGCCATGGACATGACATATTGGGATTCTTAATAGAGGTGGTGTTCTCCTGAAAGGGTGAAGGAAATGGGGCTGAGCCTGTGAGAGTGGCCCCATGCTGGCAGCCTGTGTCTTTAAGGAGCCATGTAAAGAGGGCGTGTTCAAACACACTACAGAGGCAGGAGGCATTGTAGTGAGTTATTGCGCTCCAGACAGAGCTGCAGCACCGCTTCTGAGGATGCGGTGACAGCATCAGTGACATTTCTAGTGAAAAATAAACGAGTCATCTGTGTGTCTAACAGAGTCATTTGGATTTCCGGAGAGTCTGATATAAGCGCCTTCCTTTCGTTTGATAAAATCCACCCCTCATTGTCAACCTGCTGGGCCTAAAAGTGAAGCAGCACCCGGCTTTATGAATGAGGATGCTCGGTAAGTGCGTGCGCTTCAATGTTTGTACTTGCACTTAAACTTCAGTGCAGCAAAATGTGCCTTTGTGTTTGTTTATACAGCTCAAATATGTGTTTAACGGGGCTGCTTTATTTGTCGGTTCAGCAGAGCGCACGGTGCGCGACGCGGCTGACGCTTTTGTGGTCAGCTACTTATTGTTCTCGTGCCAGTGACCCACCCTGAATCACAGCTTTATTGTAACGTGAGTGGATGAGTAGGCTGATAAATGCTCGAGTGCTGTCAAATGGACACTTAGATGTATCTTTAACGAAGATGTATTTTTTATTTTCTGGAGCTTTGTTAATGAAAATGGTTTCGCGAGAATTGGGCTAATTTGTCTGCAGCCTTTCAGCAATAACATTAATTTCCTCTCATTATAAGCCAATTTGGGGATGCTTTTAATGTAGAATTGATGTATTGATCCCTTAGTTTACTTCTCACCTCTCACCAAAGCAAAGCTACTCATAGTAGAGCAGATATTAAGCTTTAAAATATCCAAAAATAGGCCAAAAATGTGTTGCCTAGCACTTCATATTGAGTAAATGTAATGCCAGTGCAAACATGGAGGTTTTTCTCTGTTGAAATATTTGTCTAAACTTATTCAAGAGTGAGTGAAATGTCTGCTTAGGTAGTAGAGGAAGTAGAATTGGCACACATTGGCTTTTACATGATCAGATGACTAATAGAAAAAAAAAAAAGCTCACACATTACACACTTTCTGCCCCATCATGCAGTGCACGCCTGTCCTGTTTGTCCAGGTCATTACCCACGCATCCCAGAGCCTGTTTACTTGGCAGCGCTTGTTTGGTTTACTTGGCAGGGGTATCACGATGGCATCTGATGAGCTCATTGACTGGGATAATAAGGTGATGGGCCTCAGGTCTGTAGGCCATCACTTTATCACCGCCATACTGATAAGAGCTCCTCAGCAAATGTCTGAGGAGACAATGCTATCTGAAGTCCTTGCTTGCGAGTGTGAAAATTGGGTGGCTTTCTTTAAATGTGACATTTGACCCATTTCATCCAACACACTCAGAGGGCTTTGTGAGGTGTCAAAATGCTCTGCCCGGTCACTGTGATGGATTTAAGTTGACGACACAGCAAACAAGCAAGCCTCGTCGCCAAGATTTATGTGTCACAGGCTTAGCTTGTTTACTTTTTTCTCCAGAAGTGGCTCTGAAATGCCCCCCAGAACAGGCGACACATATCTCAACCAGCCTGCACAGGTTCTGCTTCTTCTACTTTCCTCTGTTTCTTAAATTACAAAGCATCTAATTGCCTGCAGGAGATGAGTTTAGTGCCTGAAGGTGAAAGTTATCCGTCCTCCGTGCTGCGCCAACCGCTCTGTTATTGGACACAGCACAGTGTAGACAGCGTTTGCTGGCTCACAGCCCGGGAAACACAACCTGCTCAGAATTTAGTTTACAAAAGTGAACAAGTTTGTGCGCTAGATAATCAGTATCTTAGAATCCTTCTGCGGTGGTGCTAAAGTGCAACTTAAGTGTGTCATTTGTGGCCAGTGAGTGTACGGTCCTGCACCCATGTTTGAACTTGTCTGCAGTTTGTGTGCTCATTTGTGGCAATGTGTGTGTCCTGTCCAGCCCCTTTCACATTCCAGGAAATACCAATATAAACTGTTTTTTTTTTTCCCTGGAATGCCTCCTAGGATGGCGATAGTAAACCGCTGGATTATTACAGAGGACGTGACAGGTCTTTTGAGGGATGTGTTGCATAAGTAACATGTTGAGTTGCTGTCATTGCTCTTAGTTGCTACCACAGGCCTGCAAATGTTAGATATGAATCCCAGCTCTGTGTGAAATTTACAATCTGTTGAAAACGTTCATTCTCTCAGTACACAATTCATAGTTTGCTAGTTTGACTTGGGACATACAAAGCAACAGTTCAAAAGTTTTTGTTGTCCCAACATGAAATTCTAAGGGCCTCTCAAGTTTCAGTGTGTGAATGCTGTATTTGTTCCTGAGTCTTTTGTTTGGTGGCATTGTTTTCTGGTCTGATCCAGCATGCTTTGCATTGTGACCCGGTAGGCTGTTGTTGGCACTACGAGTCGGAGGCAATGTTTATACTTCTCTGACATCCTGTTTCTTTGCTGAAAATGTTGGATTATGTTGATATTGGCGTAGCAGTATACAATGACACTGCACAAATGTTAAGATTACTAAGCAGAAGATTGTTATTTGTTGACAATAAAGTCCATTTTTGTCTCTGTCTCAACAATGGAAATAGATTGAATTTCTATGAGCCGTACCCTTCTTGACTATTTGAATTGTATTAGTCCAATAATTGGATATTAAATCCTGCAGGAGAAGCTGTTCACAGTACACTTATTATCCACTTAAAAATGAGACGGCTGCCATCCTCAAGTCGAGTGTTTTTTAAAAATAACACCTTTGACAAAAAGGGCCCTCCACGCTTTGATAGCAGCTTCTCTGGCTTCCCTCCAACATGAGCATTTTGTTGCTTTCCTGCTGTTCTGACGCCCATAATTATGGCACTCTCATACTTTAAAGCAAAATTCTCTGGATCCCATAATTTCACTGCATTCTTTCCACCGAGGAGCACAGGTTTCCACTCAAGTGCTTCTAAATGTAACTTCACTCCTCTTCTGCAGCGCTTAAGAGAAACACCTGGCCGGTGTGTGTGTAGGTCTGTCCCGGGCGACGGTGCGGACACCTGGGCCTGAGGCTGGAGCTGTCATCAGCTGTGACTCTGCTTTGTGCTGCTGGGAAGCTCCAGTTGTTCTGAAATTAATTAATGTTGCTGAACCTGCGGCGCTTTATGTACTGATGTTCCATTCTGTTGTTGAACACACACGTTTCGGCACTGTCCTGCAGTCCTGTTGGTTATTACGACTGTGTGCTGATGGAGATATGAGCTGTGTTTGTTTGGTTAGCCCATCAGTGATACAGTATGAATGAGGACAGCCGTGTTTACATTATGGGTTTTCAGGAAGGGCAGGCTGGGTAGATTTCCGCAGAGATGGAGGGTTAACCGCCTCATTTTCTCCCAGCCCTTCCTGTGGACGCAACACACCAACACATCTCTCTCTCTCTCTCTCTCTCTCTCTCTCTCTCTCTCTCTCTCTCTCTCTCTCTCTCTCTGAAACGCTTCCATCATGCTCGTGTAATCTGTCCATTTGAGCGCTAATTGCTGTGTTGAGGTTACTGGTGTTGCTCACTTATCTCAGTGGTAATCAGTCAGATTCTTGCAATTCTGTGTGTGTACGCACTTTAAGCATGCTCAGACGTCTTTTGTGGAGACAGGGGCAGTTATGAATGACCTGGAGCTGGTTGTTGACCTCGCAGGTCTAGCTGGATGCGAATGAAAAAGCTGGAAAAGTTTTTAGCCTCATCTCATTACCAACAAACATTCAAAAGTAATGTTAAGTGGTTATTTCTGGCATGCTCTTTTGTTGCTATCGCCAGTGTCAACCTCTTCTCCGCTCGTTCTCTCTGATTATGTCGAGATGCTCGAAATGCTGGAGTGGTGCCAGTGTCTGCCCCCCCTCCTCCCTCAATTTGTATTTAGATGCCATGCCCAGTCCACAGATGACGTTGATGCTGAGCCATGTTGGCTCCTATTTTAATCACACGTCTGCAACTTCTATTCCGATTAAAGGCGATAGTGCGGAGCAGGAGTGGGAAATATTAAAAAAAAAAAAAAAAGGACATTGTGGATGCGTGAAAACGATGCATATCAGCCTTGTTTAACCCACACAACACTTTTCATTCTTGAATGCGTTGAAGTAGAGTACGGCTTTCTTGTCTGCCATCCGCTGTTTGTGTCTGTAATAAAAGCTGTCAGTTTCACCAAAGCGGAGGACGGAGAGAAAGAGATGGAGTGTCGTGTCTGGAGGCTGCGTCGGCTGTAAATGTAAAAGAGACGAGTCATCTCCTCTTGGGTATCAGGGGTCAGCTAGTACACGTCGAGCTGACTCGCTGTGGGCCTATTCTCTGCCAGGAAGCCTTTCATTGGCTGTCGGGGCTCTTTTGAAAGTATCTCTGCTCTGTCCTGGTCATCATCTGCCTATCACTTGTCCTCCGTCCCCCTTATCTCTTCTGACCCACTCTTGTAACTAATAAAGACTAGTATAGTTGTCCTATTAATAATGTAGCTACAGTTCCACACTGATTATAAAGAATTAACAGTCTGCTTAGTTGTGTAATTATGTACCAGTACACTAAATGGTATTTTTAAACACTGCTGAGTTCTTGTAAGTTTGTTTCTTCCAGCCAAAGCTGTTTACCACAAATATTCCACACCCTGATCTAAGGATAGCTCCAGATTTAGTATTCACTGATATGAATGCCAATTCAAAAACCCTACAGGCACTTTTATTAGCAGGGAGGCTCTAAAAAATCTGTTGTGCTTTGATCCTTACCGAGCAAAATGTCCTGCTGGGTGAGGTGTGACATTAGCATAACAGACTGCCTCACACCAGCTTGCCAGGTATGGGTGGGGACGGCGAAAACACTGATATGTCAGTTTTTTGCTGTCTGTGTTTGGGAAATGCACACAGACGGGCTTTTTATCTCCTCTTCCTGTCCTCATAGGATTTATTCTCAGTTTTTGGAAGAGCTGTATTAGGATTGGGTTGTTTTATTGGTCTCCTATGTGATTAAGGATTTTTGGATTTGAATTTGTTTGTAGCCTATATCTAGGGGAACTAGACTAACAAACCAACTAATGAACCAGCTAATGAATTGCTGATTTATCTGTCAATGACTTTCGCAATTAATTGATGAGTTGTTTTGTTTATAAAATGTCAGAAAATAATGAAAATGCCTGTCATCAGTTACCCAGAGCCCAGAGTGACATTGTCAGCTGTCTTGTTTTGTTCTGATGACAATCCAGACCCCCCAGATATTCAGTTTTAAAGCTGCAAATCCTCACAACAACTGCATTTTGGCATTTTTACTTAACAAAAGAAAAAGAAAAAACAGCTCAGGGGATTAAGTAATTATCAAAATAGGCTGATTCAATTTCTGTAAATTAATTAGCTAATGAATCAACCATGTGTTTCAGCTCTGTAAGTGTAATAAAATAGTTGGTTGCAACAAAAAAGAAGAAATCCTGCGCAGGTCAAGTTTAGTGTGAACTGCTCTGTTAGCATGCTTGGCATTTCCCATCATTTTTAGCCTTTCACGGTAACAGATTTTGGATTTGCCTTGCTCTTTAGCCCACAGTGGATTTCCACTTTGATCAAAATGAGCCATTGGCTTTCTTACTGTATTGGGAGTGCATGGTGGGGGAGAGGCATGGAGAATGGGTGGTGGGGCAGGAGGGCACTCGTGATACCCTGCAGGTCAACAACTTGATCTGAATCAAAACACCACAAACAAATGGCGTGCCGCTTAGAGCGCCATAAAATGGATCATTAAAGCAACGGCTAAATCTGGATTTTGATTTTCATTAGAGCCGTGTGTTTCCTCTCATAGCTGTATTTATCTCACAGGGCAGCATCAGCTTGATGTCTGTTGTTCCCTGTCTGTATGATTGAGGGATAATGTGATTTCCACTGTTTGTCCTTGGGCTGCTCCTTCCTAAATGAGACATTCGGGCCCGCTAACTGAGTTGCGTGGCAGATACCTATCTTCTGGAGGCCATTTGTCTGCTTAATTACTGGAACATGTGTGTGCGAGTGTGTGCTAGCCTATTGCTGAACAATACCTCTTGCTTGTGTTGCACTTAAACATATGGGAATGAACGAGAGTTTTCACCAACAAATGGGATGTCTGCAAATGGTATGAACGTCAGAGTGGTTTTAAGGCCCAGACATACCAAAGCGTCATCAAAAAAAACAAATGGTGACAAAGGCTGACTGTTGTGTCGCTTCATGGTGCCTGTGTCTCGGGCAAAAAGTTGCACCTTAACACACTGAAAAGATGTCAGGCAACAGACAACTAGTACATTCATTTTGTGCCTGTGTGAGAGGAAACAACTGTCCCTGGCAGCAGGTAGCGGTAGTCTGCATGTCATTCGAAAAGGGAAACCAGAAGACTGACAGGACGGATTCAAGATGCTAGTTAGCCAGTTAGCGTATTAATAACACAACCTGATGTTGACAGGACAAAGATAACGGTGTGCTAGTGAACAAAAACGTAAACAATAATTAACTGTGGCTAAAGAAATCATCTTACTCAGTATAACAAGATTGCTTTGATCTCACACCCTCCTGACTTTAGCTATTTGTTTACTTTCCTCACTTTCGTTTCTCTTCTTGTACACTGAGCTGAACTATCAATCAGAGTGATTTCAGTCACCGACGAGCTACACTATCTCCAACGCTGATTCAGCATGCTGAATTGGCCAAAAAAAAAGCCGACAAGGGCTGACTAGTGCCAACGATGAGGGATACATTGCCAAAACTAGGGTGACAAACAATGATGGACAGCCCGACATTGACAGACCAATGTGTCGGGGCCCTTACATGCAGAGCAGTTTTAGATTTCAGTAGGATGGAGAAACCCAGGAACTTCAGTCCCTTTTTTCACACAGATTTGAGAGCATGTGGCCTCCCACCCCCCCAATGTCGTTTCACCCTCAGGTCATGCGGTTGTCCATCCAGGTCAGTGACTTCTAATGAGGCAGACAGAGAGCCCCCACTGCTGCAGCAGCCACCGTCTCCCAGACAGTAGAATACGCGCTGGATGAATTAAGCACAAAGAAGATGCATCAATACTCAATTAGGGAAATGGACTATTAGTCATGTTTGAGTGTGCAACTGGGAGTGATCTCTGGCATAGTGTGAGTGTATTGACAAGAAGTGTAAACTTAACGTTGGTCTTAAACACAAATGATGGCGGTCGGTTGGTTTAACGGGAGTCTTATGTCATGCGTATAAATTCAGTCGTCTGATGAGTTTTTTGTGTGTGTAAGAGGAGCTGTGTGACCTTAATGTATGCATGTAGAAACTTGTTTTCCCTTCCTGTGATTCAGCATCTCTCTAAAGTGTTTAGAAATGAAACTCAGCATGTCCTTGGAGATAGAAAATTCTCCTGGGTGAATATACTTACCGTCTGATTTAGCGCTCCCTTTTTTCACCGCTTTCAGTGAAACAACCCATTTCTATTTACCTCCTTCCTACGTTATTTCTGTGCTTTTCCCTCAGAGGAGTCTATTTTTTTCTTCCCCACAAAGTAGCGGCTATGACCGAATGATATTTAAGCGGCCTTAGACGCAGGCTAGGTATTTATATTGATAATTGAGTTATGTGATCTATAAACAGAGCTAACATTACATTTCCCATGACATAAATACATTTGGGAGAAATGGGTTGGAATATCGTTTACCCAAGCAGATGTGAAAAGATGAGAAAAGTGAAGCAGCACTGGCGATGGTTTGGAAACGTTCCCAGTGTGCTCAAGTTTATCACAGCGTGTGTGCATGCACACACTATTGCTTTTTACTCAGCAGCTGAGAAATACCACATCCACCTAATACTGGTCAGTCATCTCCAAAATCGTGTCATTCAAAAAGGCTCAAGGTCTGTAGGTCAGTGTGCAGTGTGTGGAAACGGTTTCCCATTTCGCTGTCAAAATGAAAAGATGCAGTTGTGCCTCATTTTCTCGTCCTGTTCATTTCTGTCCCACATTCTGTGTCTCTAGTGGGTTCTCCGCCTCAGCCAGACCCCGAGTGTTGTGAAAGTCTGTTTATAAAGTCAATCCCCCTGCTGTGACCTCGTAGTTCCCACGCCAACTGCTCCCTTCTCAGGCCCTTTTCCACTTTTTTTTTTCATTCACGTGGACGCTCACACGTGCATGCACGCATACAAAGATCCACAAAGATATAAATATCGCAGGGCTGTGAATCAGGTTTGATGTAACTGCTGAAGGCCTGTGCTGGATCTGGTTTAGATTCAGCTGATGAACAATTCGCCTGGTGGTCTGTAACAAATTTCTGCGCCCATGTCCCCGCAGTGGGCACCATTGAGCTTTTCAGCTTGATCCTGGCCAGGGGAGGAGGAGGGGGGTGGGGATGGAGAAGTGGGAGGCGGGCTTTCACCATCTCCCCTTGTTTTATCCGCTGGTTGTTTTTCCTCGCCTGTTTATGCCACCCAGAAGCAACTAGTCAGAAAAAAACTTTTTTTTGGCTGGGTGTGAATTATTTCCCTCTCATTATTTCCCAAAAAAACAAATCCGAACATGCAGCTTCAATAATAAACATGTTTCCGCAAGAAGAAATGTCCTTGTTTGTGTGTTTTGGCACAAAACCACTCAGAGTTCGTGGAAAGTTTTCACATTGTGTCACATTTTTGTGTCAAAAAATGCTGCAATCTTTCACATATATGTTTCTCTCGATATAGAAACATCTATGTTCTTGTCTACAGCGCTGGAACATTTGTATATTTTCTATTAATTCCCATTTGAACCAGTAAAAATACACACAACATGGATTGAGCGCCTGAGCTAAAACACAGCAGACACCACATAAAAAGGTGTTATTGTATGAGCTCCAGGTCGACACAGAAGGAGGCACGCTCATGTGAAGCCTGAAGCCTTCCGCAGCCACTGACAGGAAACGCTGTTGCTTGCTCGCAGGAGGGTGTTTCCATGGAAACCGAAGCAGGTGAGGGCATTAACAGGAAGAAGAGTAGAGGCTCGGGGGGTGGAGACACAAGAATGAGGTCAATGCACTAAAAAGCCTGCCACATTAAACAGCCGAAATCTCCCAGCGGCACTTCTACCAAAAACAACTCTGACTTCAATATCTTTTGAAGGCTTGCCTGTAAGAAATCCAAAGTCAAGGTTAAGTCACTGACAGTTTTTAATGATCTTCCTGTGTTAGCGTGGGCAAACAAAGAAAAGAGTCGCTATGTGCAAGCCAGAGAGGTGCACACTGCTGATGGCAAGGTAAGCGCTTCCTTCAGGCCTGCTCACGTGGAGAGACTGTTCCACCCACAAGTCAGAGTTGCATGTGTTTCCTGATGTCTGTCTGTAGAAACTGCTTGCACGTCATTTTTGCAGACCACCGTGACCGTGCTCTTTTTGTGCGTTCTTTGTGTGCTGGGATGTATTGCTAATGAGACACCCTACTCCTCTTCTCCAGTGCAGCACCTGTGGAAGCGGCAGTGAGTAGCTGTCAGCCTGTGGTGAGGTTTCCTCTGTCTGGGCTGCATGTTTCAATAATGCAGCAACACTTTTTTTTATATCAACTATCAGTCTCAAACCTCTAGGGGCTTAAACACTGCTGTCAAAGAGGAAGAAGAAGAAGAGGAAGGAGATGGCTGGGGATTTGTCTCTCATTTCTCACGTCTCTGATCACATTTTCATATACATTTCTCAAAACAATGCTCCGGTGACTGTTTAACAGTATACCCAGTTGAGAGAGGGGTATTATTGTTCTTGTATAATTGACTTTGTCTGTGACTAGAAGATTAGCTTTTGGTTGTGCAGTGAATGCCGTGCATTTAAAGTCAAGCTTCGCACCAGAAAATCCCTGGCAGCCCTCAAGTATCCTTCTCCCGTTCATGTTGGTTTGTGGTCGGTGTTTTGCTCTCAATTATAATGCACTTTTAAAAGCAGAATCCTGTGGTGTTCGCCATGTTTTTCTTTTCCCAGTGCATTTCAGAGGTCATCTCACAGAGATGTTGGAAGAGTGCTGCTTATCATTACGGAGCTGCATAATTGGTAGCTTCGGCTCATGTAATTAGTGGCACATTTGAAATTCTTAGAAGTGTTTTTTATTTATTTGTTGGGATTAAGAAGGCAAATGTAAATATTCAACGCTATGTAATGTGGATGTTGGGTCGTAAATAGATGTCCATGGGTGAGCCTTATTTGTGTTTGATATGGAGATGCTTTTTCTGTGTGCATCACATTTGACATTTGATTTTGATGTCCTTATTGTAATTTGTTCTCTTCTGTTTTCAATTTTCAGGTTCCCAGGCTGACTGCAATTGAGGAGCATCAAAATTCACTCCAACCTCTCCAAAAGGGATTATACTCAAGACCTGGACGCTCCTTGTGACCCCTTTGTCCACAACAAAATCAGCAATCAGCCACCATGCCAATCTTAAAACAGCTAGTGTCTGGCTCTTCCCAGACCAAGCGCCGCTCACGCATGGACCTGACCAGGGAGATGATCAGCGCTCCGCTGGGCGACTTCCGCCACACTATGCATGTCGGTCGCAGCGGTGATGCATTCGGGGACACCTCCTTCCTCAGCACCCGCTCGGGTGAACCTCCTCCTGAGAACACATTCTTCCCCCGTTCTCCCCGGCCCGGCCTCCTGTCTCGTACCTTCAGGAGCAGCAAACGCTCTCAGTCGGTGACCAGAGTGGACAACACCCTGATGACCCCTGGTGGGTCGCCTACCTATGTGAAGAATGCCATGTCTCTGCCATTCCTCAATGATGAAGACAGAGGGGAGAGCATTGTGGCAAAGAGTTTGTCCTCCAGTCCTTTAAAGCAGCACCTGGAGGTGGATGGGCAAGGTGCAGCTGCAGCTGCTCACTTCCTGGAGCTGGAGGAGCGGCGCTTTGGTGAACTGACTGAGCTTCCAGAGACCTCCCACCACTACGGCGGCGGTATGAAACACGCTGAGTCAGTGATGTCTTTCCACGTCGACCTGGGACCCTCCATGCTGGGTGAAATCCTGGGTGTGATGGAGAAGGAGGATGATGATCTCGGCTATGAGGAGGGCAAGAGCAGCGAGGGCCGTGCCTCGCCACCTCTTAGCATCCACGGTGAGGAGGAGGAGGAGGATACGGGGGAGAGAGAAAAAGATGAGGACACAGAGGAGGAGATGGTGGCAGAGGAGGAAGGAGCAGAACTACAGCAGCAGGCCTCTGTGAATCCAGACGGCTCTGTAGATCTGGGGCCTGAGAACGGAGGACCCTACACCCCAGAGTACACTCCCGAGACTCGGCCAAAACACTTGCAGCATCTAGACAGCTGCTCCATGTCCAGCTCCGGCTCTGCTGCCCTGGATGAGAAGCCAAACAGCCAGACCTATGCAGGAGATACGGACAGTGCCACCTTCAGTGCCCCGCCAGAGGAAGAGAGCAACTTTTCCTCTTTCTTGGAGGATGAAGACGATGAGATTCACGTATGAGATTCCAAAGCCGCCTTAAAAAAAAAAAAAAAAAAAGAATAGCACAGAGCTGTGGAAGGGGTTTATGTGAAGCTTGCAAGTCCTTTGACAGTGTGGATTTGCACTTGAACGGAAATAAGACACTTTTGTCGGGTACTGTGGGGATGGGACTGTGAAAATGACAGAGGACTCTCACTTTGTAGGTCTGCAAGGAGAGAGTGACTGCTCCTTTTTGGAGGAGCCCAAACTCCCATCTGTCAGAGAGCCTTACCCTCCACTGTCTGTCAATCCGTATCTCCCTTTTGAACGCTGAGGGAACTGACATGGAAGAGCAGCCACTCTTTGAATATGGAACATTCCAGAAGTAAGCAGGGAGGATGGGTTAGAAAAGAAACTTTTAGGAAAAACACTTTCCATAACTAAAGCTCCGTTCACGCTTTCTCTCTCTCTCTCTCTCTCTCTCTCTCTCCTCTCACTTGACGCGTCACATGTGCTTTTCTCATTTGGTTTCGCCTCTCTTCTCCTCTTGCTTTGCTTTCTCACTGGCTGTGGGACATCATGAGGCCTGAGCTGAACAGAAGGCCTCTGTCACCGCAGGATCACTGGTGGGTATCTTGTCACAATAAAGGGGGCTATGTTTGTCACTGGAGTGTGAAGCCCTGCCTTGAGCCCCTTTCATCTAGAAAATGTTATCGTAAAGTGCCATAGATCTGTCAGTTTTCTCCCTTATGTAACTCAGGGTCCTTGCGATGCTGCTCAAAGGCTGCCATTTCCTGCGTGTAAAGCCGGACCACAAAGCCCCAAACCAAAATTCTCCTCTGTTTTTAATTCACTGTGAGCGCCACACAGGCTGAGCCTCAGTGTAAATTAGAGAAAAGCAGGGTTGTAAAGCTAATGGAGATACATTGGCCTGCATTAACTATAAAGCACAGTGTTACTAAAGAAAGCCAGAGGTGTAAGGAGCAGTGTGTGGCACACTGAAGAGGGATTGCACACTGTTCATTGTCTGCTTTTTTTGTCTTCCATTTTACAGATTCATTTCTCACCCTGAAGTCATGATGGTGATGGTGTTGCAGATTTCCGTTAACTGACATAAATTAGCCATCTTCCTCCTTATTCGTCTGTCATTTCAAGTTGAAACTGAAAAGACTGATAACCACTTCCTTCCTTGTATTTGTACATCTGAGCAGCTGCAGTGGTGCAACTGAACTGCGTAAAAGATCCTCATTAGTCCAGAGGATGCCTTTATGTGTAAAGTAGTTTCAACTACTACTCTTGAGGAGGGCTTTAGGGTATGTGTTGTTGAAAATCAGTGCACCAGGAGGCACAATTAAACCAGACACTACTAGTATTCTGTGTTTAATACCTGTTTTGTATGGAAAAAAAAAAATCTTTGCTATGTTTATGTAATATCTGTTTATAGAGTGGATGAAAAAGAAAAAGAGACAGCCAGCAATAGATGCAAGAGCATTTAAAAAAAGAAAAAGAAAAAAGATAGCTATTTTTATGCAAGTTGCATAGTCATTGCAGCTTGACTGTATCTCTTGCATCATTAAAAGCAGCGGCCAGAAGTATCGAGGCTCAGTTGCGCTGATTGATTCCACTGCCTTAACTGAAACTGACAGATGTGCCAAATCATAATTTTCTAGCCAAAAATAATTTCTCACTTTTGGGAGAGCCTGTCAAATCTATCTGTCACTTCCTTCTCTTTATGGGTAATCACTGTTGAATTTGAGTTGCAGCTCAGAGGTTAAAAAATAAATAAATAATTAAACAAAGAAGTGTTTTAAGATCATGCACACGGGGAAAGAAAAAAAAGACTGAATTTGTGTAACTGGATATTTATATTTCCAATCACTCAAACACTACATAATATATTCAGGTAATTTCTAGAGTTAACAATTGTGTGTGAATGGGGAGGTGTCCTTTCTGTATAATGTTGTATATTATGCCTTACTTCTTTACTGTTACCTTTTTTCTGTATCATCCAAAATAACCTATATTTTTCAATAAAATAAATCCTGAAGGTCGCTCCTGCTGCATATTTTATCGCCACTCCGTCTCGGTGCATCTGAAGATAACGCAGTGTAAGTGCTACTCCATCAGCAGCATTAACCAAAGAATTCCTTGACTGCCTTCTCTGTTTCCTGTCACTATTCTTTGACTCTCCCAGAGGAGGAAGGAAGGAAGTAATTGAGGCCTAACTGGATGTGTCTCTTAAGTATTAGCTGTACAAGCTGAGAATACTGCGATGACTCACGAGTAAATGTGTGTGTGAGAGAGAGAGAACGAGGAGTCAAAATGTAAGGCTTAGTTTAAAAGCTCTTTTTATCTGATCCCCCCATGGAGCAGCTCTCTGCTCATCAGTACAGATTTGGGAGGGGGTGAAAGATGGATGGAGGAAGGAAAAGTTTATCATTATGGAGAGCTGTATTCATAAAAAGTGATGACAGGTAATTGCTCTCGCCCTGCTGATTGGAGGACGGATGAGTCTGGAAAGAGCTGGACTCCACTCATCATCACAGACTCACAACTTTTTCTTTTTATGTCACCTTTTGTTTTGGCTTTTCACGCTCTGGTGCACCTCGCAGCTCGGTCAAAGTTCAGTGCACTCTGTTTTGTTAACACTCGTCGCAGACAGTTCAAGGTCTCGCCCTGCGTCGTCCCTCCACATTAAAACTGCATGCTGAAAAACACTACTCCATTCTTCTTTGGTGTCTTTTTCCCCTCCCGATCCAATCTTTCATCTCCACTTCGGGGGATCTTTAATCTCCTTCCACTTTCAGTTTTTCACAGTCACATTATACCAGCGTCCAATCTGCCTGAGGGCTAGAAAAAGTCATTATTCTTACACTTGTGGTAAAAACAGGCCATTTATATTGATTGTTGTGGTCAATACAAACCAGTGGGGCTATTGATCCTACTTTTCTCTGTCTGTATAAAGTCATTATTCTTTTTAGAGGTTGTTAGGTTTTTGTTTTTTGCCTGTTTCTTTGAGAAGGACAGCCTAAATCTTCACTAGTCGCCACTTTTGCATTGGTTTGGAAAAGTCTTGTTTTTTTAATCACCCCTCTTAGCTGAATTATTTATCCTTTAACTGATGGTTCAGTGCCAAGCAGCAGCTCTTTTTGTCTAAATCTTGTTATCTACTGCCATCTAGTGGCTGTTTGAGTTTCACATCTGGTGATGGGTGTGTCAGGGAAATGGCTGGTTTGACTTTGGGGATTGTAAATGAATGTTTTTAATATCTCTGTATCACCTTGGATCTCTAAACATCGCTTTGATCGATGAGTGTTATTTTTATTTTATTCATTTTTCAGCACATTTCACAGCAGAAAAACAGTTGCAAAAAAAAAACCCAACTCATCACCTAGACTGTCAAATGAGATTATGTGGATGATTTGTGGAGAAGCAGGATGTGAACACAACTGTTGAAATTCGCATTCCCTCGCATTTGAACTCGATACCGGAGACTGCAGATTTGTTCAGGAGGCTCGGCCCCCCCACCCCCAATAGAAACTCATTGTAATCCAAGTCTGTCTTGCAGCTGTTTCTCCCCCTCAAACACCCTGGATGCAGTTTCTCATCTGCTTCAGAGCCTGTCAAATGTCATTTCCCTTTGGTTTCCAACTCACTTTGAAAATCGTATTTTCCTTACCCGAGCCACCAACGGGAGGCGCTCATTGCCTTCAGGTTTATTATGTCAGAAGCCCCTGCCTGGACCCACAACCTTTTCCGCCAAATTCCATCAGCAGACTTTGCAGCTCTTCCAGGAGGCCGACGGCATGCTGAAATCTGGAAAGTATTAAACAACCTGCTGGTGGAGGGGACTGGGGAGGGGACGGTGGGAGGGGGTCGGATGAAGGAGGGAGAGAGGGGAAGTAAAAAGTGGGGGGATGGGGGAGAAGAGAAACAGAATATAAAATTGTGCATATACCGCCCTTTGCCTGGCTCTGCTCCCTTTCCCCTCCCACACACACACACACACATAAGCCCCCCTCCCAAAAACAAAAAAATCCAGACCACTCCCCAAGCAGCTCAAGCATTTTTCTTTTATGATTGCAGCAGTATGTTGCTTTTCTCCTCTTTTTTTTCCCTATAATGGGTCATAAACAAACACCCGCTTCTGCTATGTAGCTGAGGAGTAGAGGAGTGGGAGTGTGTCGGTGTGTGTGTGTGTGTGTGTATGTGTGGAGTTGTTTTGCTGGCACAGAACCGGGAGGCGAGTGCCATGGTCGAAAAGCCCCAACTGTGTGTTTGTGGTTGGAGGCAAGAATGAAAAAACTGGATAGCATCCAGACATCCTTTCCCATGCTTTGATACACATATCTCTGACCAAATGTATGCACAGTATCCGTCAGGGCGTGCTGTACCCCAGCGAGAGGTCCCGCCCAGAAGAAGATGTATAGAATCTGAACTGTTCCAAATTGCGTTTTTAAGCAGGCAACCAAGAAATGTATCTTCCAGGGTGTAAGATGTGTCTGTGCTGTTTCCTGTCGGTGCATACATTGATGTTTTTATTTAAAAATCTGTGTTCCTTTATCGCGAAGGCGACTGTATTTAAAATTGTATTATCATTGATATCATCGTGTAAATTTGTTAGTCATTCAGTGAAGACATTTCTCCTTGGCTGTCTTTTTTATTGATTGCATCTCAACGCTTACTGCCAGAGTCGTTTATCTTCGCCTTTTCAAATGCCCTACATCTGCTTTTACTCCGGTCTGCCAAATAAGCAAACAACTTGTAAGACAGTCAAACTGTTATTACGTGGAAAGAAATGTTTTCCCTTTGTGTCCTCAAAGACAGGCTGTGGGTTTTCCTCCAGGAGTGCAAGACGCAGCACTACGGATATTGGTGTTAACAGGAGCAGCGAACATAAACATTCCAGTACCCGGTGTTGACCTCTTGACCTCTAAACCCTGGAACTGCAGGGCCGGCAGCAGGAGACCACACACACATGGTGGGAGGAGAAGCAGGGAGGACACGGAACGTCTCCGGTGTCCTTTCTTTAAAGAGCTTCAGATGCCTGCGCTGAAGACTGTGAAAAATTAGCCCATCCTCCCTTAACATTAGTGCAGCGTCCACCCCCCCCCCCCCAGGGATTGTTGCAGGTATGTCAGAATATGGGCACGGCTGTCTCAGATGGAAAAGTTATTCCGAGGGAAACACAGCTCCTGTCTCTCCCCTCAGTTGCTGAGCAAGTTTCCTATGAATCTGGGGATTGTGTCATAGCCTTTTTTGGACTGGACTCAAAATCTTCAGTGTTAAAATGTGTTTTTCCATCTCGCAGAACCACAGTTGCTAAATCTGCATTCAGCTCAGCAGACTGAAACCATGTATTCAAACAAAGTTTATTGTGTTCTTTTGCTATGAGTGAACAAACACACAGCTGGAACAACTTTTTTCTTTCACAGTAATGATTTCAAAAAGCACTCGTCGATCATAAAATCAACGTCCGCCACGACTCCGCATCGAGCTTGTAAGGCTAAATTCAGAACACGGAGGACTCATTTTTGCCATAAGCGCTGAAACAATGATTCATCCCTTCATTTTCCATTCTTTCCTTGTGTCTGCGTGCTGCTCCGCTAACCCTGTCTCACTCCGCTGAAGAGAAGAGTGGGTCCTGCAGCCATGTGGGTCCCCAGGAGGTCTGGCCTGGCCTGCGCTCAGCCATGACCACATAGGATGGGGCTGGGGGCTCTGCTGCTCTCTACCCCCTCATGTCTGCCAGAGGCCGCTTCCCGTCCAAGGCCTGTCCACGGCTGGCTGACACTAAAGGAAGGCGAGCGCACTATATACCCCCGCACATACACTCCTCCGCAATCCCACACCTTTAGGCTGAATGTAAACTTCCACACAGAAAGTTTTAAGTGATTATTGATAAAAACAAAGTTAATTTTTAAACATTAAAATCCTTGAGTTTTGAGATAATGGATGTTCACATGTAAAAATTTGCTCTCACTGAATGTGTCTCATTGGTGGGAACAATTTATCAGCAAACCAACGACTGATAAAACGAAGCTTTAGATGTTCATACGTCCTTGCCAACGTAGACTTGGCTCCGTCCCAACAGAGGCTTTTTCTCCATACAATACCCTCCTTGTTTGAGAGACACTGTGTGCCCACTGTGGAGCAAAATACTCTGACCAGGAAGTGAGGGATCACAAAGGGTCACTTCCCATAGGCCAGCTTTAAACTTTGACCTTCCAGTCCTTCTTCAACTTAATCTCCCCTCTCCCCTGACATAATGAGTAATACCAGTGCCACTCACTCTCTGCGGGGACGGAAAGAACTGAAGGACAGTCTCGCAGATTGATGCCTGGCGATAATCTGGAAATAAGTGGCTCCTTTTGTCCGACGCATTTCATTCATTCAGCCCCTATTTTTTAATATATAGTAGCCTTGCATGTGGAAAGTAAATTTCTGAACGTCTCTGTGTTTCTCCAAACTAATTTCACATTCTAACTTTTTTTTCACGTTCTCAAAATTACTTTAAAGTCTACAGGAGAAGATATTGAAAGTTTTTACAGTTAAGCAAGTGACAGAAGCATACTAAGATACGCAGCTCAAAAGCTATGACATCACCACCAAGGCTATATTAAGGGGTATTTAAACTGTTCCTCATTCGACTCTGACTTCGTACTTGGTCGGGTGGGATGCTGGGCTGTGTTCAGGCCTCTGTGCATTCCTCTGTTTGCTTTAAAAAACACAGTGACTAGCGCTCACATGGGCTGAACCTTAGTGATTTCATAGTGCACCCGCTAATATCAGCCCAGACAAACTTTCCATTACAGTCTATCACCTTCCTGTTTTCACGCAACTTCATCCACAACCTCGGCTAATGGAAACACTGCAGCAGCATAAAGGCTCATTCACTTCCCTCAAATCTCAATAGCATCATAAATCAGGGCGTGTCTTGGAGATAGAAAACAACACTAGGGTGAAGAATCCCAGAGTTCCGTGTGGAGAGTTGACTTTAAAACATAGTGTACTGGGTGTTGGTCCTTCATTTAACAACTCCGTCATCCAG